TTGATAAGCGGTGCCTAGGTCCGTGCCCGGGATGCGAACCTGCAAACCCCAGGCTGCCAAAGCGGAGTCTGCAAACTTAACCGCTACACCACCAGCCCTTCCCCCCATTTATCATTTTTGAAAGGAAATTTAATCGCTTGGAGGAAAAAAAAAAAAAGCTAAAGCCTTGAGAGAAAAATTACCATCCAGTACATTCTCAGCGATTTCTTCTTACTGTACCTTTGTTTTTCCTTTTTCAAAGCATTTTATAATTGTAAGATGTCTGAGGCAAAGGACAACTTGTATTCTGGGAGTTTTAAAAAAGTTATGACAGGAAACTAAAATACATGGCCTTTGTAGTTAAAGAAATTTCACACCAATATGCTATTTGCTTTATAACTTTTGTGTTCTTTACTGTTTAAAAACGTCTTTAACATTTAGTGAACTGAAGAAATGAAGCATGTCAGATTCCAGATTAATGTAAAGACCACACTATTTAACGTTTAACTAGTAACTTTTAAACATAGTTTGGGTCCCAAGTTCAGTATGGAAAGAGCTTAAAAATTTAAACTAATGAAAACACAAAATACACATTTTTGGAGTTGACAAATGCTTTGTTTAATCAAATAGATATTTTTCCTTCTCTCCTAAGTCTTTTTAAACTTTAAAAGGATTGTTTAAGTAGTTTGTAAAAAAATCCATACCCCATTCTGCTACCTCTCCATATTTATTAAAGAATGTGAAAAAATCATTTATTAAACAATTACACAAGACTTACATTTCATAGGCTCCGAAACTCTGAAACACAGATATATAGAAAATATGCATTAAAAATACCTGTTTATTGCAATGTGCGAAACCAGTTTCAAAATGTAACCCTTTTCCTCATTTTTTTCCCTGCAACTAATAAAATCAGTTAGCTTCTCTGACTGGACGGTTATTTAAAAATAAAATAAAATAAACTTTGGTAGTTGCTCTAGGATAACCCTTCTCTTGCCCATACACCCATTTAGACTGGCAAGCCTATTTTCATTTTATTTCAAAGATTTTTTTTTTTTTTTTTTTTAAAGCGAAGGCAGGGGACGGCGGGGGTTGCTAAATTTATCTTCTCCAGCCACGGGGATGAAGAAAACACATTTACTGCGGGCGGGGGTCTGAGGGCCTGCAAACAACTCGAGCAGGCGCCTCGGCCAGGACCGGCGCGGAGAGGCGGTAGGTCTCCGGGGAGGGCCCGGGGGGCGGCCGCGGCCCACGGGAGATGGTGGGGGGCGGCCGGGCCGGGTCTGGTAAGGGCCGCCTGCCTCTCCGCGGGGTCGCCGGACCGCGGCCCCGCGCGGGCTTTACGGCCGAGGCGGCGGCAGCGGCGCGTGTGTAGCGGCGGCGGCGGCGGGCGGGAGCGCGGAGGAGGTGGAAAGAAGGGGGGCGCTGTCACGGAGACTCCGGCCGCCGGAGACCCCGCCGCAGCGAGGCCACTGGGCTCCCCGGTCGCGGGGCGTGAGCGGCGCCGACCCGGGGCTCCAGGGGTACACACCGGGCGGAGGAGGGGGCCTGTCTACCCTTCCGCATTTTCCTGGGTCTCTCTCCCGGGCGGTGACGTGACGTGCTGACGGCGGGCCCGTGCCGGGGAGCTGGGCCGCTTTTTGTCAGCTCCGAGCTCGGCCCCTCCTCCCTCCCTCCTCCCGCCCCACCAGCCGGAGCCCGGCCCAGTGCTCCAGAGAAAGGCCGGCCTGCAGC